TCGATGATAGGAAACAATAAATTGTGAAGACAAAGCCTCCACAAAATAGCATTTTGTGTGTGATTTACCCTGGCTTCATATAAGTAGAGGAAAAGTCTGCTAGCCACTAGGCTAATTTATACAATGTAAAATGCCATAGGCTTGTGCTAAAAACATTAGCATATTGTATTTGTAGGGAAAATGTGTCCAGCAAAAGACAAGTGTTTGTCTGTGAATGCTGCGAGTTATAGTGAACCCGATTTGTGTATTTGTGTTTGAAATTGTCGCTGTTAAGCCATGTTTAATGTGTTTTGAATCAACTAAAATTTCCAGCACTTCACAGAAACCCTGCAGTCTTAGCCTGCTTGCTACGGCATAGGCCATGTGTGTACACTCTGCATAGAGCTGACACACAAATATAAATCCTGCTTTAGCTTCCATGGTGGTACTCTAATCTGCCACTCTAAAATGGGGTTGCGCTTACCACTATCCTCTGTAGGTAATACCTCATACAACCCTGCTTCAAAAAATCTGAATTATTCCCTTGAGTCATTTATTAATGTGGAATAATAATATCTATTCAGAGCAAGGCGTTTACATTCTGATGAAAGGCAGAATTAAAGTGAGAAGCAAGTATTGCCACTACATGCTCATGCACTGCTACATCCATAGCCTTAGGCTGAGTACTTTTTCTTTTTATTCCTTCAGCATAAAGGAAAAAAGCATCTGGGTGTTGTATGATAACCTACAACAGCTGAGATTCAGTATAAAAGACCAAGTCCTTCTTTCCTCTCGCAGTCAACTATGTGGCCTGGATGACTCAAAACCGTTGTTGCTCTATTTTTATCTTCAAAGACAACAACTGGTCAGCATTTTCCCTAATTCGCCTCAATTACCCTTCATTTCTCTGCAACATGGATGGGCTTTAAAGTCACACAGACTGATGAGGGTTTTTTTCTGTTCTTTGCTAGGTCAGTGGCTAAGACATAATTAAAAGCCTGGGGGGAAGGGGAGTTTCGCTGGATACAGGGCACACATGCAAACACACATATAGAGTCCCACTTGGGAGCTGCATAGCACAGCCACAGACTTCACTGTTGGCACTGATGAGGTAATTCAATCCAGACAAAGTGGCCTACAGTGGCACTTAGATAGATGAATGTAGAGGTTAATGAAAAATTAAACAGCACTTGATCAGATGTTTATGATTTTTGAAGTTTAGAAAGCAATTTAAAAAAAAGAAAAATAAGGATTTAAATGTCTTTTCTTCCCCTGTGAATACAGCCCAACCCAGATTACAGCCGTCTAAGGATGCTCCCCTGACAGCCAGCTGCAGCTGTAGTTTGGGTGTGGTTTTATGGTCCTCTGTTACACAGACAGCTTATACCTGAGAGGCAACCAGACGTCCCTTTGAGACATGCAACCTTATATTGACACCAAGTAGGAAATTCGAGTTAAAATCTGTTTTTGTGAACTTTGATGACTCAAACTCTGCCATCCATCAAAGAGAAAACTGACAGTAACATCTTTGATGAATTGATTTATTTGATCAAAACCCAGAGGACGTACTGTCTCCATGTTCTGTTGTTTTGTCGTTTCTTGAACACAGCTGTAGTGACCACACAAGTACACAAATACAGTGTGTTTACCGCTTTGCATCATGTGATATGGATGACTCATTCTGAATGATCAGCAGGCCTCTGGGTTGACGTATATGTTTGCTTATACAACAGCTTGCTCTCTCTAGTTATTTAACTGGAATCCATTCTGCTTAGTAAAACACACTCATCAATGCATTTTATCGATTATCCAGTAAAGTGGAGGGCACTGGGGCTCAGTTATGTGTCTTTTTATGGGGCAGTCAAGTGTCATCTCCATAGATATCACTCATGAACACATCTTTGACCCAAGAGTCTATTGAAGTGGTCATAAAGGATATGGATATAGCCACTGTAGGTGCTCAACTCCACCAGTGTGCCATATGAAACAGCTTGCTAGTGAGGCACCCTTTTCACAAGGTTTGTAGGTTGTCACTAATGCCTTAACACATAGGTAATAGTTCATTCATGAATGCTAGATAGATCAGTTATAAGACATTAATAAGGACAAGCGTATTGTTCATTAAATTTGGTACAGACATTTATGATTCCCAGATGATTGACCATAAAGACTTTGTTGATCTTCAGACTTCTGTAGTGCCACCATTTGGTTCTGGAGTGAAATTTCACAACATCTATTGGATGTTTTGCCTTGAAATTTGGTGCAGACATTTATGTTCCCCTCCGGCTGAATTGTAACTTTGGTAATCCCACGATTTTACTTTATGTTTTATGACCAAATACTTGCTTTCACACAGGCCTCAGCTTCACTTTGTATCAAGTGCTAATTAGGAAATGTAGAAAATGTGGAGTCGATATCATGGTGTGTTAAAATTTTTTGACAGGGACTCCATATTGTAAGGTACACGCTCTGCAATGGTATAGAGTTCTGCAGGGATGACCTTTTTTTGTAAGCCGACACTGTCCTGGTGTCCTCATCAATAAGTCTTTGGAATTTTTCCATTTGATTTTGGATAGTTGCAGAAAATAATCTCTGTGGCAAACAAACTTTTACGATACTTGCAGGTTTTCTTCAGCAAGATAATCCTCAGCAATGAACATCACTTTTGTATCATTTTTGAAGCCTAAAATTCAAGTGCCAGAAGTAAAAAGCTAACGTAAGGCTAAAAGGGAACTACACCACGGTCGCATGACTTAATGTCACCATGACAACAAGGCTGTAAAGCGGTGTTCTGCGTGATGACATTTTGTAGTCTCATTTAGCCACTTGTTAGTAACCGCCTTTCCCACCTGAAAGCTTCAGAATTTACCAGTGGGGTATTTACTGGTGTATTTTAGTCATAGAACAAAATGTGAGATCTTTAAAAGGGGAATTACACCCATTTTCAAAAGTCATGCGTTATTCCTATGGTCTAAGACAGTCCAAAAAATATTAATTAACAAAAACCATAGTGCTAAACCTCACATTTGTGATGTCATGGGGTATAAAGTCTGGAGCTGCTCCACAGACAATGAGTTGGGAAAGATGTTATGGGTAGATGTCAGGGGGATGTTCTGAGTATACGGGTTCATTTTCTGATTCACAGCTGAGAACACTACAGTAGGATAAAGCTCATTTGGGTTTTTTGTGGGTCCAAAATTTCATACTCCAAGTCATTGAGTGTGATTACATGGACATTATAACATTTATGAGGCTTATCCTGGTTATGATCATATACAGGATATGGTGTTTACATACTCAAACACATAAACAGGATACTCCAATATCCCCGATCATAAACAGGTTGTTCATGTACATGTAAACACTAATTGTCTGTGGAGCAGCTCCAGACTGTATACCCTATGACATCACAAGTTAGAGACTCACTTCTCTAGTTTCTGGCTTTGAGAGAGAGTAGCTCATGTTCACAAATATTTATTTAACTTTGCCTGGCCATGGAAATAACATTTTAGAATTCTAAACTGAGGTCATGTTCCCCTTTAAGCTGATGATAACCACAGACCTTTATTTCAGGCATCTAACAAAAACCCCACTGACCTTGAGACGAGGGAACCGAAAGTGCAGAAATGCTGACTCATCTCCATGGTTTAGGACTCATTCCTACAGTTTTTGGACCATAGATTTGGACAAATTAATCACAATAAACAACATAGATCCAGATGACTTCACAGCCCGAGGCCCTACCTCCACTCACATACCCGGACTGTCTGGCTTTTAGACTGAGTGTAGACACTTAGGTGAGAGGTAACAGAGCCAAGATGGCGCCCTGACTTGGCGTGTCTTGCCATAATCAAACTAAAAACATTATAAATCATAAACAGGTTTCAACCATAAAATAGGTTCAGGTTTTGGACCTTGTCCACTTTTGTGTCATGATCAGCTGCAGACTGACTTGGCAGAGATGGCTGCCATCTTGTTTTTACATGGATTAGTGTATTGTGCTCTTACTACCACTAGATGGTACAGAAAAATGTCCACAAATGAGGACAACAGGTCTAAATTAAGAAGAATGAAGTATAAGGTCAAATAAACCCAAAATGTGATGTGCACATATGAGGACACAGGGTCTCAGGAGGACATGATGTCTTAAACTCATCTATAAAGCATTAGTAAATGGTTTAAATCCATTGGTTACCACTTATAACACCTTTATAAGAGATTCATTAATAAAAAGTGGTAGGTTACAGTTTTAATTTAATTCCAGTGTTCATTTTAAGATTGACCATAGATGACAGCTGCCCGAGAATTGAGCCCACGTGCTCCACTGCAGCAAACAGTGATTATCTCAGTGCTTTTGGAAACAGTAGTCAGTTATGAGTTATTAGTTTTGTCATGCACCGTTTGCTCCGTCAGGGCAGTCTGCCCGCTTGTCCCCCTCCACATGCTCAATGGGGTGGAATATGTCTGCATGAAGCCATGAGGCCATCTGGTGACGCGGAACAAGTGGCATTGCCAGAAAAAAAATTAAAAACACGAACTTAATCCGGCCTCACACAAACAACAGTCGCATCACATTCCGGCTCATGCATGAAACAGCTCAACTCCACATGACAGAATCAATCCTACCAAAGACAGACAAACCCAACACGAGACCAAAGAGCTGCAGTCACATATTTTGGTCGCAATGAGCAGGACTGAGCCCAAATAAAGCAACATATGCACACATGAGCGCGCGGCCAGCCATGCGTAAATGCTCCAACTTGACCGAATGCAGCACTAACAGATTTAAGACCCCCCAGCCCGCCCCCTTTAATCTCCAATCTGAGATTATTAAGATTATTCTGGTGATTGATGGATGAATCGGGCTGATACATGACGGAGCACGGGGATACAAAGAGCCCTGTGAGTGGAGACATCGCCGCTGAGGGATGATGTAGAGGGAGAAGGAGGGAGATGGTACAGTTGGGGAGATGAGGGCGGGGTTTTCCCTCCAAGATGAGGCAAACTAAAATAAAATTGGCTTCTTGCAGCCGGCGCATGTACCGTAGACTCCACGGACACACACATATACACACACACACACAAGCCTGTGGAGAGAGAGGAGGGAGGATGGTGATGAGGATGTGGTCTGAGGAGCGGCTCTTCTCTCTTGATGTTATCTCACCTCCCCTGTGAAGCTGGGAAGCTTTTCATCCTGTCTGCTTTAAGCCGCAGCTGCTGTTTGTGTGCGCGTGGGTGTTTTTCTACATTTTTTTTAATTTATTAATATTTGCTGACCGGTTTTCTGTGTGTGCGCTAACATCCACCATCATCTGGAGCCATGTCGGACTCTGAGGACATGACGGAGTTCGCCAGCATCGTGGAGCGGATCGAGCGAGGCGAGGTGAGTCTCCTCCGGATGATTTACGGTCCTTGTGACAGCAGCGGGCTGTCTGTCATCATGCAGCCGACAGCAGCAGCGCCGGGCCGGCCTGCAGAGCGGTCAGGGGGCGGAGAGGGATGCCACTGCCTATATCCTATTCTATTCTATTCTATTCTAGTCTATTCTAGTCTATTCTATTCACATTGGTCACTGATGTCGCATTATCTGTTCTAATACTGTAATATGATCTGAGGTATTAAAGGTGCTCCTCTGTTCCACTGACTGCATTGCATCCATAGTTGGACTCACACCTATTCTCTTCTATTCTATTCTGTTCTATTTCTGTAACAGGATTTCAGGTGTGTACCTCTGCTATTCTACTCACATGAATCCATATTCAGCTCAATTAAATTCTATTAACTACTGATATATTCCGTAATAGGATATGTTATATTATTAAATAATGTTATCTTCCAACCTGTATTTCTGTTCTAATCTACAGTCTATTCTGACATTGTAATCAGCAGCAATAGACTCTAATCTGTTCTATTAATTCAATTGTCTAGACAGACCTACAGACAATACTATATCCTATTTTGTTCTATTCCTGTTAAAAAAAAAAAAAATCAGGTCTGTACCTCTGCCACTCTGATCATATTAATACCACACCTACTCAGTTCAATTGTGTTAACCATTATTTGTTAATATTAAGTGCTGATATAGCCCCATAATTCAATTCTATTGTTTTTTATTTAGCCAGGAAGTTCCCATTGAGAAACAGGATCTCTTCGTCCAGGGAGTCCTGGTCAAGGAAGCCGCACAATCAGACTATCCTATCAATTTCAATTCAATTCAATAAGCGTTATTGGCACAACATTTCTTATGTGTTGCCAAAGCACAAATAAAATTAACAACAGTAAAAATTAAAAAACAATCTACAAATGCATAAACATAAATTTACAGGCAAAAAAACGTACATGTATATATAAAGGCAGAGTGTGATCTGTGATGAGATGATCTATATGTTGGTGTGTTGGTTGTCTCTAAGGCTGTGACATGCACTGACATATCTTGCTGCATCTGTGGCGCTGACACTGGTTTCTTTCAAGTAAGTAGATGTTACATTTTAGTCTGGTGAAAGTGAATCAAAATCTTAGTTCTGATGTCTTCATATGTACTATATTGTAGCACAAGCACATATATGTGTAATTCTATTCTATCATACACTTTATTCTTCTACCTTATTCTATTCTATCCTATGTTAAATTCTTCTACCTAATTACACTCTGTCTAATTCAACTCTATCCTACACTCTGTTCTTCTACCCATTTCTATTCTACTCTCATTTCTTCTACCTTACTCTATCCTATTCTAAACTCTGTTCTTCTACCTAATCCTATTCTATCTTACACTTTTATTCCACCTAATTCTATTCTAGCCTACTCTATCTTCTATCTAATTTTATTCTATCCTAAACTCTATTCTTCTGTCTAATCCTATTCTATCATACACTCTGTTCTTCTATTGTATCCTACATTGTATTCTTCCACCTAATTCTATCCTATCCTTCAGTCTCTCTACTCACTACTCTAACAATCTAATGAACAGACCCTCTTCTGTATCCTTCTCTTCCATCCTGTTCCTGTAAAACATGTCAGCTGTGTGTAGCCATATTAACGGCAACACCGTGTAGTTCAAAAGTACTGGTGTAATCTTAATCTTATAATCTCACGTTTTAGCCTCTCCTGTGTATTATTTTGCATTATGTCATTCGGTAGTGATGTACCTCTAAAACTAATCCAGTGTTGAGTAGTTACATGTAATTCAGTTACAAAATAAATGTAATTGGAATGAGTGCAGTTACTGAGAAAATTATGTAATTAAATTGCAGCTGCCAATCAAATCCAAATGTTGGTGATTACAAAAGAGCCACATCAGAATTTATTCTATTCTCTCAGTAGGAAGTTTATGTGTAGAGTATAACGTTCATTCTGTTAAGTTGCATCTTTTTCTTCTCACTCTGAAGGAGTGCCTTCCTTTGGCGTAGGACATTTTCAGCATCACTGCCCCGTTTAAAACCTTTGTTGGAATCCATCCAAATTACTTTGATGAAGTAATTCAAATGGTTACATTACTTATCGCATTTACAACAGGGTAACTAGTAATCTCTGGCATTTCAAAAGTAACACTGGTCTATTCTGTTATAAGAAGAACTGACCCTTTTCTGTGAACTTAAAACTGAATGACCTTTAGATGGAGCGATACTTCCTCTATTCTACTTTATGTCAGTGCCTCGTGGCGTTAAGGCAGAGGCTCCTCTTCTATGCTTAGAGGAAATAAAAGTGAAGACAAAGAGTTTAATTAGTGTCCCTGTAGTTGCTGAGAGTGTTGGTAGGTAGTGCTGCAGGCAGATCACACACTCCTGTCAATATGTGGGACAGTTGGCAGCAGCTGTGTGATGAGTCGGGGCAGCGGGTTACTGAGGTGTGTATGAGCCTGCACACACAGAGGGAGGAGGAGGAGGAGGAGGAGGAGGAGGAGGTCTCTACCCATTTCACCCATTTCAGACTGACAGACAGAATGTGTTAAAATGCATCTCTCCTGCTCCACACAATCTGTGACATCCATCCATGCATGCTTGAGCTGTGTGTGTGTGTCTGTTTCATGTTTCAGACCGTACACGCGATTGACTCACTGGCCGGCTACAGCTGCTGGATTCAGTGATATTTTAAAATTTAATCAGGCTTGTCTTGCACAATGGGCAACAATGTTTAGTGTTATCTCTGTGGTGTCAGAATAATCAGAGCAGATACGCAAAAATTAAGACCCTATTAAATGGAAACACAATTTAACAGTACTCCCATTGTGAGAGATTCTTTGTAGGCTGCAGTATCAAAATACAACATTATTACAGAGGACTGCACAGACAGTTTGTGCCTTAAAGTATCCTTTTTGGTTTGACATCTTTGCTGATAATGTGACACTACATTTTTAATAGTGTGAAACAATCACATATATTCAATGGATTTGGGCCAGGGTTAAAGGAAATTCACATATGGTGCAAATTTAACAAACCTTCTGCTCTGATAATGAACACAGATGACATACTGTGAGAATGATGCAGCATTTAATGGAGCCAATTGGGCAGACAGACATCTCCCCTCCCCTGGGTTATGACTCCCATGGATCCTCAATGTCCCTACAGGCTGCAACCACAGAATATTTGAGGAAAACATTTCACTGCTGCAGCTTCAAGTAGATATTCGATCGAAATCTAGACATGGATGGAGCCTCTGTTGCCTCCAGTGAGATTGATACTGTGGAGCTGCTGGTTTGCTGCCAGAAAATGCTGCTGGAAAAGCGAATGACTCATCAGAGTCCTAAAGATGCCTGCAGTGCCCTCAGTGACTGTGCACTCTTTGGCCCCGTTAATTAATTCAAACATTTCACCCACTTCCTTCTGTGCTGCTGCACAGCGTTTTATATATACTATGCTACATGTTCCTCCCAAAAAGCTGTTACATGGTCCATTTCTTTCTTGAGCCAAAACATAGTTGGGTCGACCTGTTAGGGGGCCCTGATGTACAATAAAATGAGCTGCAGGCCTGAAGAAAAGCCACTGCAGCAGGTAATTAACAGATCATAAATCCCCTGAGAGAATGAGAGGGACCCTGACATTAGCAGTGACTGTAAAGTTAACAGGAGTTACAGCTCACATGGGCCCTTTTTACACTATAGAAACCTTATATGAGAGCTGAATACAGAAGCCTGCTGTCAGACCAGAGACTCTGAAAACATAGTTAACCTGTTTTATATAGACACTAAGCAAGATTGTGTGTTTAACTTGAGAGTTTTTGTTTTAAATAAAGATTTTAAGTACTGATATACACTCTAAACTAATGAAGTCCAAGTCCATCACAGTGCCGACCTCCTGCACTTCTCTGTTTGCATTATAAAATACACACTGTTAACACTTTTCTTGCTGCTACAAGTGCAATAATGGTTTTAAATGCTGCTAATATCTGCAAACACAAGACACTTTACCCACCATCCAATTCCATTCCTTCAACTACAGTTTTTGTATATAATTTTTTATTGCAATGTCCTGGTCTCTTCACATTTGTATGCTCATGCCTCATTTTGTGTATAAACAGTGATTATAATGTATGTAGCATTCAAGCAAAGGATGGCACTAAGGGTCTGTGCATCACGTTGGTCCAGACTGAAAGGTCTTACCCAGATGATGAAGCTTGCTGACTTTGGTGATCCTCTGATTTTTGATCCAGTGCCACAGGCAGGTCAAGACTTCCACTTGTTCGGTAATATATCTATAAGATAAGAAATTGAATTGTGCCCTCAGAGTGAACTGTAACAACTTTAGTGATCCCTTTAGTACCACCATCAGGTCAAAAATTGTACTTGTCCGTTACTTTGATTTATACAGAAGCCTAGTGCATTTGATATAGAGAGATAATAAATAATAATAATAATTCATGCTCTTGTTTGTCTGAATCAACAAAATAATAATCTTGTTTATTCAGAAAAGCCAGGGTTTACGAGATCATTTTCTCATGAATTTAGAAAAACAAGGGCAGATTTTTTATTACCTTTGAAAACTTTTCTTAAAATTCAGAGATGATGATCTTGTTCATTTGGAAAAATGTGCAACATTATTTTTTCATTCAAAACTTTTCTCAGAATTCTGAAATAATATTCTTGTTTATTAGGAAAAACAAGAAATTTCAATATTATTATCTGGTAAATTCAGAAAAACAAAAGCAGATTTTTTTTCACGACAACTTTTCTCAGAATAATCTTTTATCATAATAATCTCATTAATTCAGAAAAATCAGTAGAATTTGTTTTTCATGAGATCTTTTCTCACAATTCTGAAATTATAATCTAAATTATTTGACAAAACGAGAACTTCCAAGTGTATTATCTTGTTAATTCAGAGAAATAGGGGCAGATTTTACCCCCATAAAAATTTGTCTCAGAATTTGGAGATAATCATCTTATTAATTCAGAAAAACAATAATTTACAAGATTATCATCTCGTGAATTTAGAAAAAGCAGACTTTTTTTCATGGAAGCTTTCCCCAGAATTCTGAGATCATAATCTCGATAATTCAGGAAAAAAAGTAAAAAAAAAAAAAAAATCATGACAACATTTATCATACTTTTGAAATTATAATTATTCTTTTTAAAAGAAAATTAGATTTTTAAGAGTATTATCTAGTAAATTCAGAGAATTAGGAGCAGAAAACTTTTCCAAGAATTCTGGGATAACAATCTCATTTATTCAAAAAAAATGACAATTTAGATTTTTTCAATTAAGAAAAAAAAAACAAAAACAATTTTTCCCTTGAAAACTTATCTCAGAATTCTGAGAGAATATTCTCATTTATTCAGAAAAACAATAATTTACAAGATTAGTATCTTGTTAATTTAGAAAACAAGGGCAGACCTCTCCATCAACTCTTTACTCATAATTCTGAGATAATAATCTCATTCTGAAAAACAGGGCAAATGTTTTTTCTCAGGTGAATGCATCACGCTTTCACGGATATATAACCAAAAACCTGCTAAATAATAAATGATAATAATAATTTAAAAAATACTTTCTAAAGACATTCCCATAACCCTTTATCATTTGTTTTTCTATTTAATACTAATAGCAAATGTCAGCATGCAGGCATGGTGCACCTAGACCTGATAGACATCTGCATGTTAGCATTTCAAATCACACGGTACCAAAGTACAATAAAGTTTACTAATTTTATTTAATCTTATAGATGACTGAGATTGAAATGAGGAAGATAATGCAAAGTATACCACATGCAGAGTGTGGCCTGCCTGTGTGTGATAAAGCACCTGAATGTGCGACACGTTGGATTGATGAGTTAAATAAAGTTTACGAGGAGCACATGAAGGCAGCATTAGTTCCTATGGAGACTCGGCCCCCTCCTCTCCTCCTCCCGCCTCTCTCCACCCCCTGCGTGTGTGTGTGTGTGTGTGTGTGTGTGTGTGTGTGTGTGTGTGTGTGTGTGTGTGTGCTGATTCACCACAGCGCTGCCTCTCCTCTCTCTCAGCGGCGTCACTCTATTTAAATTCACTGAGCCGTCGCTGTCGGCATCTTCTCCTCCTCCCGTCCGAGAAGTTTGCTCCTCTAACCCGAGCTATAAACACAAAACCCCGGCGGATAAGGTGTCGTTTTAACTCCCAGGCTTTGTATTTCCTCCCTCGTCATGTCTGCAGAGATGCGGCGGAGCAGCACAGTCGCGGTGAGTGTGGGAAGAGAAGGTTTGAGATAGAAACGCGTTTTGTCTCGTCATTGTTGAGCAGCCTGTAGCTCCTCTGCTGCTGTGCATGGAGACCGGCTATTGTGAGAAGTTACACACTCCTAGTGCAGCTGCTCTCAGTGTGTGTCCATTCATTTCTGTTTGGAGCCATTGTTTCATTTTTAAAAAATGAAAGAGTTGTGTTTGAGCAGCCAGTGTTTGCCTTCTGTCTGTTTAAACTTCCTCTATCCTTCTGGGTATTGTCTTTAACACGCGTGGAGGCGTTATTCCCTAAATTAATGTTTGTTCAGAGCAGGAGAAGGCAGACTTTACACCACCTGCAATAAATGGACTCATCAGTGGGTAAATGTGGGAGGACAGGTTTCACTCTGGTTTTCTAATGTCTCTTTAATGTAGAAACGTGACCTGCTGGAATCCTGCATTTCTCTGTTTGTCTATATTTAGCCAGCTGGGCTTAATCCTGTCTTATGTAATGTATCAGAAACATGGTAAAGACACAGTGTGTGCCTGTCATTGTGATCTCATCAACTGCTTTCCAAAGCTCAGCTGTGGGATAGATAACTACTTTCTACGAACCTGAATGTACCCACCCAATTTTCCCACCTCAGTGACGCAGCAAAATGTTGTTTTCACAGCTTAAAGCACAGACAATAGGCTTGTTACAGCTGCATCTAAAATGTCCTAATAATAGGTTATTGTTCCAAGAATCAAAGACAGCTGTATCCTCGCCTCAAAGTATGAATTTGCTGGCTTTATTTGAGACTGATCTGTGATGCCTTCTGTTGTTTTGTTTCTCCTGCGTCTCTTGTGAGAGTATGTGAAAGGATGACAGCAGCTGTGATGCTGCCTCGTGCAAGACTTCCAAATGTAGAAGTACAATTATAAAATACAAAGGTGTGGACTTGAGTCATACATTTGATGACTTTATAGACTTGAAAACAATCACAAGACCAGCAACTCCAGTTGGTCTTTAACACCAGTGATTCGTGACCGTTTGGCTGAAGCCTGTTGACTTGAAAATACTTGATACCTCCCCCAAGCCCAAACATTGAAAACTATATGATTTTAAAAAAGTGTGCCACTAATCAATTCATTTCCTGACTCAACTAATTTTTATTCCACTTGACAACATCCAATCAAGTTGTAGTAGAGAGCAACAAAAACTATTGTTGCGTTACTGAGCACCAGTTGGGAAAAATGATACCAAAGTCAGTTTTATTAGCATATAGGCATAAATTTTAGGGGGGATGGAGGGGACACGTCCCCCTCAACATTAAGAACATAAGCCTTTGTGTATCAGACTTGTTTTGAAAAAATTAAAGACATTTACACCTTAAATTGATGCAGACAATGCACAAATTGGTGCATAAAAAATTCAGGTTTTTGCAAGAAATTTTTAACTTAATTTTCTGTCAGATGACCCCCAGACCCTGTGTTTCATATGTCGCCCCTCCCCCCTTTGAAACAAAACCTACGCCCTTGTTTGCATACAAAAACTTCATGGTGGTCAACTGAAAGCAAAATGGAGTATGCAAAATGAGTGGGTCAAAAATTAGCGACGCAGCAACTTCCAACTTCCTTCAACTTTTAAAGTTGCACAAAGAACGCTAAGTCAAGGATAATATTAGCATAGTTAGTGAGCTAATGCTTAGCTAACATTAGCTTAACAGCTATGCAACTTCTCAAAAACCTTGTTTCAACAAAAAATTAAAGCAATCGTGATTCTTGTAAATGTAATACATTACTCTGTTTAAATGGCATTACATTTGGCAAAGAGCACATAATGACTTGATTAGGACTCAAATCTCAAAGTTTAGGGCTTGGGACTTGACTTGGGACTTGAGTGCAAAGACTTTGGACTTGCAAAACAATGACTTGGTTCCATCTCTGCATTTTTATATCTATATCGCAGTTTTCATAAGGGATGTAAGAAAATACACACCCTGGAGTGTTGTGATATCATGTTGTGATAAGTGTCAATTCTCCAAAAAACATTTTGGTAGCTTGGATGCAACATTCATAGCAGTGGTTCATTTTGTGTTGTTGTTAAACCCTCGACTGATTGATCCTTCAGTGTTGCTATCTATCATCATCCCTTTCACTCTTCTACTCAACAACTACAACATATTACTAACATAAACTCAGGGAACACAGGCCTGTGAAACAGGTGATCAAAGGGTGCAACGTTAGCATTTCAAGTTTAAAAAAAATCACTAAATCCTTATTTACAGTATGGCAATATATTGAATCCTAACCCTTGTGTCATGATATGTACCACATCCCCAGATTCTTGCCAATACACAGCCCTAGTTTTCAGCGATCATGTCTCCATCAACAGGTCCCGATCAAGAACATCGAGAGGGAGCTGATCTGCCCGATCTGCAAGGAGCTCTTCACCCACCCGCTGATCCTGCCATGCCAGCACAGCGTCTGCCACAAGTGTGTCAGAGAGCTGCTGATGCTCAACCATGAGGACTCTTTTGACGCCGGCTCCGAGTGCTCGCTGCCGGGCAGCCCCCGGTCCAGGGTGCCGTCTCCCTCCATGGAGAGGCTAGACAGGCTTGTGAGATCAGGTGGGTCTCAGGGTAAGGAGTCAAAAACATTTATTTCTCTCTGTAGATTGAATAAATGAATTCTTTAATGGAAGGATTTAATCGTGTACAGATGCAGGGAATCGGATCTCACATTTCTCTGAGGTTAAAAGCATTGTTGAGACATTAGTAGGAGCAGTGATGGTGCTATATTGTCGGACAGCCTGACTACGTGAGCTGATGGAGGCTATAATCAGGCGATCGTTGCAAAGGAAGAGCAAGTAGTGAATGCATCTTAGGCTGTTTGTAGTAAAGGCAATATGAGTTTTATATCAGTCCTGCCAACTTCCTGTTACATTGTCTTCCTCCCAAGTCCCTTAACTTCAGCTTTTAGCTCTGCTGTCATCTGTATTCAACAGGTTTCAATGGCTGGATCTGGGATTTACCTCCCATAGAAAAGAACAAAAGGTTCAATCATTTCCCAAATAGGGAAATATGTGGTTACAAATAGAAACTGGATTTGATTAGCTAACAAACTAGAAGCACTGCTGTGATGAGCCAAGGCAAATTAAAGGTCGAGAGCAAATAAGTCTGTGGAAACTTTGTGCAAGACAAAATGGGCCAAGCTTTATTGTATATCTGGGTTTCAGTGCGGCACAGACGCCAGCCCCCCTCTCTCCCTCTATTGTCCTAGAGAAACTAGAACAAACATAAAAAATGGTTTAATAATTTGACTGCTCAGCCATAACATTGTCAGTCATCACTCCTTCCTCTAATCCTGTCTGCCTCTACAGGCTTCATTAAAGAGACAGCAGAGGAACCTGACAAGCTGTAGTTTTGTCTCCCAAGAGAAAAGACACATTGACAAGCTCTCTCAAGCCCTAATTGTCTCCCCCGTCTGCCTCTAGTGGCCCAGGGGCATCAAACATCCCCTTCAATCATGCAAGGTCTCATGTATTCATTTGAAAATGTTTTATGAACAGAGAGATCGGTTTCACTCCGCCTTTAATCGGATACACGGGCTATGTGTGTGTTTTGTGTACACATGAGTGAACAAAGCACATCTGTAAGCTTCTAAACTCTTAAACCAAGCTGAGCTGGGTGGAGGGAAAGCTGCGGCTGAGGTGTGGGGGTATTGCAGGTAGCTAAATTAAGTTGTCACAACATTTTTTGAGTTCCCTGCTGAACACATGGCACTGCTGCAGCCAAGCTTGAGCAGGTCAATGTCTAAGCCTTGAAAACAGCTCGATGGGGACACAAGGCTGCCTTTCTGCTTTCTGAGAACTCTGGGCTGCGCGCCATTTCCATAAAGATGTTGTCTCATTTGTACTCTTGTCCACTCCTGTTGACAGAAACAGTTGTGTCCGACTTCCATACTCCGTACTATTCTAGGCAGGTTTTGAGTATGTGGTATGTTATACTGTGAAAAGACAAAATGTCAGAACGGTCAGTATGCACTCTAGAAACATTAGATATTTGAGATAACAGTTGCTATTGTCCCACAATGCTACTCAATGATGGCAAGACGGCTACAAAAATATCAATCAGCAATGTAAAATTTGGCCGCCATGCACATATGATATTCTATGTTAATGTCTAAAATATCATACTTTATACCAGTGGTTCCCAACTGGTCCAACCACAGGGTCCAGATTTCTCCTTAGTCATTTGTTCAAGGTCCACCCAGTTTAATATAATCAGCGTCATACTTGCATTTGGCAATATCTCAAGCTAGTTTGCTGTCTATGTCAAGTAACTTTTTGTTACTCACTCACTCTACAGCAGGAAACAACACTTCAAAATAAACGCTCTATGCTGGAAATTCACTGTACTTAGAAATAAAGTGTGGTTTTTAGAAAGTTAATATGTTCGGAAGTCACTTGCGGTCCATTCAGAATGGATCAGCAACCCACTTTTGGACCGCGACCCACCAGCTGGGAACCACTGCTTTATACCATTTTGTACTAACTACTGAAGCTGTATTGTGTGACAACTGGTTTATACTTAATGTTGCATATAATTAGTATGGAATTGGGACACAACTCAGTGGATATAAATAACCTCTTTATCCCTGGCATTAAAAGTTGCACATTCAGATTTTTAATGCATTTTTAGGTTTGATGCTGAAGATAAAACACTGATGCATATTCAGCAGCTCAGTCCCAAATCAAAACAACACACGTATATATTCTAGGCAGGTTTTGATTATGTTGAGTGTTTATCCCGAGAAAATGACTTAAGTATACTCAAAAAGGTCAGTAAGTGTGAATGACCAGCTCAGTGGCCACAATAAAATGTTGGCGCTGTATGTTCCTGCGAACCACAGATATGTTAGATTTGTACATTTCATATGCTGAGTTTCTCCACAAGGGAGGGGACTACTTGGCACTTGGTCAAGATGTCCCCAAGAAGCAGACCGCAGCAGACCACTGTTCGAGACCAACAAAAGCGAGTGTACTTAACAAGAGTGTGGGACAGTTCCAGTCGTGTTTGTAGCGTCCAAACTCGGTATTTTTAAGCCAAAATATCTTTTTCCTAACCATAACTAAATTTTTTTTGTGCCTAACATTAACCACAGCGTTATCACAACATGAATTAAAAATTTCAGCATAAAATTTCAAGATAATAGCTACATATGAAACGTACAAATGTAACCTATCCATGGTTTGTAGAAACGTACAATGCCGACATTCTGACGACTGGGGTGTGATGTTGGAGTAAATGGAGCAGCTGCTCGCAGATGAAAATAAAGTTGCATCTAATTGTAGATAGATGGTGATGAAACGGCTCCAGGTAAACCTCCAAAACAAAATACGCCTTTGAAGTTTAATTGGCCTAAATACTCGAGCTCCAAGTTTTTGTATAATTTCTTACTGGTATTAATTTTTTCTTCTTGAGTGCTAACTGAATTAAACCCCACTGAATTACAAAGACTAGTACATAGTTTATACACTGAATATGTTAATATGTAGTATGGATTTGGGACAGATGAAAGTGATTTAGTTGAGTCAAAATGACTGACATAAAACATATCATCAGTGGCCCACACCATAGAAAACTGAGCCTGGTATACATTTATCTAAGATGCCAAGTAGCCTCGGAGCCACACTGAGCCCCAGAGCTAAAGAGATCCCCAGAGTACAGTGAAGTGAACCCGTTTTTGGAGCCATTCAGCCATTCATGGTTCAAAACCACTGAGACTGGGCTCTCAAACACAGCCTGCCTCATTCAGACTCCCTATTCAACCTGAATGAGTTCATTATTCACTGGCAGGGCCGCATCTGTTGATGCAGGAAATAATCAAATTCTGCTTTTTGAGTAAACAAATCTCGCACCTTGCTGGAAGCCAGCATGTGCACAAGGACACCTCTGTCATTTCTGTTCTCACAGAGCTGATGCACAGTGTGTAAAAACATCTTTCAAACGTACAGTTGATTTAGCAGCGCCTCGTAAAGAAACTGTGCAGTTTATTTAGTCCATTCACGGAATTTGTACAAGTGGAATTCCCACGGGGATTATTCAATAAGGTTGTTCCCGTGTTAAGTGTGTTTAACCAGCAGATTACAAAACACAAATTCTCTGTGTGTTAAGAATATTTAGGAAACCTCACAGTACGCTATGAGCACATTAACACCCAAACAGCACAACTGAGTAATTCTGCCCACCGCCTCCAACACTGGGAGATCAGATCATTGGTCGCCATGGTGACGCAACCTGCCTGTAAGGAATGAATGAGGGATTAGGTGAAGGGAGAGAAAGAAAAGACTTAAGGCTATATTTATCGGTGTGCAGCTCGTACAGGCCTTGCTGTGCATGGACAGAGGGAAGGCGGTTACTAAACCTCATCAGCATTGTTTCTAAACTTCATTTATTTTATGTTGCCGGGGCTCAAAGCGGGCATGATGCATTTATGCTCAACAGCTAACTCTTGTCAAGTGCACTGTGAAGATGGTGTGGGTGCTCTTAAGGGATAGTTTGACATGTTGGGGAAATATGCTCATTGGTTTTCTTGCTAATTATGCACCAGTTCATGTTATTGACGTAGGTCTGCTGTAGTGAAACCAAACTACAGTGTTCTGAAAATGGACGACTAAAAGTGCATCCTGGATGCTTCATCCCAGGTGTTGTTACCATGTTGTTTCATGCAGGCTATATAAATGATGACACCTTCATGGTAAAATATATTACTTTATAACTGAGATTGGAAGTGGAATAAAAAAGAAATATAGGCCACCAGTCACAAAAGTGAAATGAAAAGGTTGTCACATTAAGAATGGTTGCTCATGCTCACCCTCCTGTCCATTCATATTTATTGATATTAATCCTAGTAAGTATAATGTTTTTTCATTCATTTTCTGTAACCACTTATCCTGTTGGGGGTTGCGGGGGTGCTGGAAGCTATCCTAGCTGACATTGGGCCAGAGGCGGGGTACACCCTGGACAGGTCGCCAGACTATCACAGGGCTGACACATAGAGATAGACAACCATTCATGCTCACAATCACACCTACGGCCAATTTAGAGTCACCAATTAAACTAAATCTAACCATTGTGCGACTGTGCTGCCCCCAATAAGTATAATTGTTTGCAAATGAGTGTAACATTTATGCATAAATAAACCTATTGTTTGTTTTTGTGAACAGCTGAACTTGAAGTGTTGCTGCCACAAGAAACTGTGGAATGGCATTATCTTATTTTCTTTTGTAGAGGATGGTCCTGTGTATCATATAATGCTGAAAGAGTTAAGAAAGGAAACAGTGAAGCACCTTTCCTTAACATTTAGAGAATGCCAACGGCCCTTATCATGGCTGCCAATTAGATAATTCTGAGTCATGTCACTCAAATAGGAACCTTCCATAATGAAAAAGGTCTGTATGACTGCAGCCCGATGGGAGGGGTATACTGACCAGTCAATAAACACATTAAACCTAGTTTGTTTAATCTGCACAAAAACTGAAAGTGTAAATGGATGGAATTATTGGCTACGGTTACATGATGGCTTCTCATTCGGAATGAAATAAATCTGAATGAAATCATTCGGAATTAAAGTCTTTCCAGGTAGTTTCCAAGGGAAATATTCATTCCGAATGAGGGTTTACAAGGGAGATCAGTTTAATCGCCTTTATTCAGGTCTGAACAAGGTTTGGGTCAGGGAAGGATTCTGATTGGATAGGAGGCGGGGCGGATGCTACGTGTTTACGTTTACCGGAAGAAAAAACTGTAGTCCTCGCTCCGGATAACAAGATGCTTGACGGCGCCGTTCTTAGTGCCCTTTTCGGGCGTGTTTTGCTTATATTCTTGAAGCAGCAGTACGACAACAACCTTGTTCTGCTAATGCTTCATCTGTTGAGGAGGAGAAGGGAGATAGAAGACCGTGCTGTGGCGAATGGAAACCGGTGAGTGCAACAAGTCCGATTGCTCTATCTCAGCCTGTTGCTATGCAGCCCGTTGCTATGCGCGCTATATACGTCATCGCGCCAGAAGGGCAAGGAAACGAGCATGCGCAGAAAGACCGGAATGAACTTAAAGAGGAATGAGTGTATACATGCACACAAAATTCTTTCATTCGGAATGACGAACGGAATAAACCACCCCCTTTAATCGGATTTAATTTTCAATGGGAATGACCGTTTACATGACCACTTTTAATCGAAATGGCCTTTCATTCCGATTAAAAGTGGAATTAAACTGTGCATGTAAACGTACTGACTGTTATTGTGCTGGTAGGAGGATGTTTTTTTTCCTTTTGGAAAGAGTCAAGCTGGCCGTTTCCCTGTGTTTTCAGTCCTAATGCTGATTGAGCTAAGCTAACCGTCTCCTGGGTCTAGCCTCATATGCAGCAAGAAAGCCACAAATTTACCACAATGCCAAACTATTCCCTTGATGAAAATTGTCTGACAAGGACATTTATGTCACAGTAATGTGATGAATTCAGTCCTGAAAAGTTAAATTCTGGTTTAAGTTGCATGCATTTGTGCTCAAATATAAACCGTTAACAAGTGCACAAATCAAGAGTTAATTGTTCACTCTAACTGTTCACGTCTTGTATGTATATTTTTAAATCTGTTATGTATTTCACTCTGAACTGCATTACCAGATTTTTACTTTATTTTTATGTTGGCTGTGTTTCTCAAATGTCATGTTGTTTATATAAAAACAATAAGGTTTCTCACGTCACTTCACATTATGTATTGTTTCTTTTTTCTTGTTGGTCTCACCTCACTTCTCTGTTCATTGCTTGCAGCCACAGTGCGAAGGTCGTTTGGAAGTCGAGGTAGACGCGGGCTCCGTGTTTTGAGTAGCTGTAGTAGTGAGTACAGTGTTACTAGAACCCTTGTGAAACCCTAGTTTGGTTCAACCTTTTCTCTACTTAGTCTACTTCAGCCCCTGTCTACACGACCATACAAACTCACACCACTGGTATGAAACTCAGTTTTTAGGAGAATTACTGTTGCTACATTTTGGATGTTAAGTTATTCTTTGTTAGACACTTAATCCCAGGTAATAATAATTTGAATTAAAAGGCATATTCCCCTTAAAAATGTCCACTGAGCTTTAACGTAATTAAACAAATCCAGATTAAATAGGCATTTAAATATCACAGTAAGAAGAGGCAAATGCTTGAGGTTATTCTCAAGGCTTTTTTATCAGACTTTGGTATTTAATTTTGTAAGTAGGTTAGAAACGGAATTAATGAAGGGAAAGGAGAACGGGTGAAAACCTTTAAGCAATGATGAGTCAGCAAACGAGGAAGCAGACTGAAAGAGGAGTGGTGTGGAGTAACGCTGGAGAGATGAGAATCGAAAAGAGGTAGAGTCCATGTCGTGGAGTTCTGGCGAGTGACAAAAAGGAATTGAAAGACCAAAATTGGTGAGAAAGGGGTGAGGATGTTTCCTAGGAGTTGAAGGGGGACAGGAATGTGTGTTTTTGTGTGTGTGTGTGTACGCTAGCTAAGCCTTGCATTCATTTCGTAAAACATGTTGGCAAGTAATGCAGCTTAATTGAGATGGAGAACTTTTAGTCTCTGTTTCTGAGTTTAACACACACACACATGCACAGAAAGAAAACCTACAATATGTTTGGGCTTGCTGAAATTCTTAACGAGCTTTTACTGACTGCTGTCTGTGTGCCTCAGGGTGCAGTTTATGCTTTAGTCAACAATCATTAGTGTTTGAGAAACAGTTTATAAGAATGCAGACCTGTTTCAGCTCACCTCTAATCATTTTGGGCATGATGAATTGAGAAATGTCAAATTGACGGCCAAGTAAAACAAGACTGAGTAATAGTTTTGTTGGTCGGATTAGGCTGACTGATGCAGTTATCTGATATGCTCAGTGGGTGTTTTTAAGAGAGAAATGTCATTCTCCTCTGTGTTTAAAGCACATATAAAATAGTCTCTCTATACTAATCCTCTTAAAGAATACATTATAATAGGCATTACCTTAAAAATAAACAAGATGGTAGCAAACAGTGACATTGTGGTGTCATCAATACCAATACAAATTAAAGCAGAACAAAATAAAAAGTAAATTCAGAGCTTTTAATGATTTCTTTCTGTTCAGCCTTTCAGAGAATGGATTACCATTACATCCAGGAACTTTTCCTGAATTTCCTTGCCTGATATAAGACAGAATTTTCAACTCGTCACACTACGTCTCCAGAATCCGAATCGGTCAAAGCGGACTCAGTCGAGTGGGTGAATTCAAAGGTCTGGACCCAGGCAATGAATTTCCTATAGGGCTACAACTAATGACTATTATCTCGATTAGTCATTTGGTTTATAAATACCAGAAAATGGTGAAAAAAATTCCGCCCCATTTTCTCAAAGTGATGTCTTTAAATGTCTTTTTGTCAGTCCAAAACCCACAGATACTCAGTTTAATATGATATAAAACAGAGAAAAGTAGAAAATCTCCATATCTGAAATGTTGAAAACAGCATTTTCTGCCATTTTAGCATGATTAATTACTACAGGTCTAATTTTCCATTTGTTTGAGTTATGTGCAGGTAACAGTCAGCCACTGACAGAACAAAATGTCAAAACAAATGTTTGGATAACAATAGAACAATCAGCACTTCTAGGTTAACAGCACTGATTTGCACCAGCTATGCATAAGTTCAAACATAGCCTAGTTTAAATGTAATTTCTAACTTAGTTTGGACTTTATGTGCTACTAACATTTTAAGGGTTTAACATAGCAACCTAACAACTTAAAATCGACACAGCTTTACGATCAAACTAACTAGTTTCAGTGTATCATTTAGTGTGGACTCTGCACCCTTATTTAACAATGTACTATGCAGGATTGTCTGTAACTCATTATAAAAATGCTCAGCAGTGAAAGTAAAAGTAAAAGCCGACCCCAGATTCACTCTCCTTTGGTGTTTTGCCTCGCTATATTTGCATTTTATTGGTGCTGTGTCTCTTGGATACCTGTTGCTTATGGTCTGGCACCTGGTCGCCACCTTTTTATGAAGTCCTGACCTCACCTGAGCACTGTGGGGGCACACGCCCATAAGCATCCTTAACACAGAAAATGAGAAGAAAATACAGGCAGAGGGCAGAAACTCTGCAGATTAATACACTGCCAAACACTTCCAGTGGGTCTTAAGTGATGATTGAGAGGAATTATATCAGTATGAGTCTATACAGAAAATCCTGCATAGTCTATTGTTAAGAGAGAACTTGTGTATAGCTGGTGCAGCTGGCTGCATGACTCCACAGATTTGTTTATTGCATTAGAAATGAAATGGAACTCTACCTGGATACTTAACAAGATTCCCTCCACTGTATGACCATATTTAGTTTTATAAAATATGAATTTAGATATGCAGACATGATTGTGTTTACAGAAATAACTCTGTGAAACAAAGAATATGCTACATTAGTTCAAGCATCAAACTGTGTCTAAAGATCCGTGCAGGGGAAAACAACCGAGCCCCTTTTGCTCTGCAATGACTCGTCAGTTTCTGCCTTCTACTCTGCGTCCCTCTGCAGATCCACAAATCAACACAAGCACACTTTGCTGCAGGCATCTCCTGCCTGCTTCTTGTACACTCACACCTGCAGTACAGACCACAGAACCTGAGTCAATGTTCAGCTTCCCAACATGACATGCACGTAAATAAAGACACACATACATGCACTCACAGTCGTCATTTGTTGGTTTACATTTGAAAGCTTTCTGTCAGACTTCTCATTTCATCCACTGACTTAACTTGTCCTAACAAGGCCATGTCACCTTCATCACCATCGTCAGACTAAGTTTTTCATCCTAACGTCACACAGCAGTGTTAAGTCCACCTCTCGTCATATGAATTCAGGTATGAGGGGTGATTGATTGGAGGCAAACAGCTGCAGGTTGTTGTCAGATTACAGATTTAACCTCTAGGTAGTAAACTGTCCCCGCACTGTCACAGTCTTTAGTTCTACTCACGTCACACGGCATGCACATGGCTACACATGTCAGTGTTTCTATGTTTGTTGTTCTGCTGCTGCTTTTCCCTCAGCTGCACCTTTTTGCAAAAGTGAAGTGGTTCTCCTGTATTTGGCTTACCTGAGGAGTGTTTGATTTAATTTCCAGGTCCTCGGAAACGAAGTGGAAAAACGGGCTTGCAATCTGAGATAAATCCAGCACTCCTCGCTTCCCCTGTCCCCCAAAAACGTGAAGCAACATTTCTGTCTTTTATTTTGCCTTGTAGTGACTTCAGTTTGCTGACTTTGTTTGAGTGCGTGCTAACAGTGTTGTGCGTCCCGCAATGCTTGTGTCTGTGATGTGACCTTGTGTAACAGTTCCTTTACTTCCACCTCATGTTACTGTGTTGCTGCTCTGTTAGGATGCTGCTGCTGCTGCTGCTGCTGCTGCTGCTGCTGCATCTGTAACAAGCACACTGTTGTGAGAAACTCTTGAAAGCCGTGTAGCTTTAAGAGGAGTTTTGTTGTCATGTGAAAATAAGTGTTGATGCATTGAACTGGACATGTGGTATCAAAGTTCAATCGCAGGACATTTGTTCTTTACAATTTTGCTACGTCACACAGTGTAATTCAGTTACATTGCTTGATTTTAAAATGCTGTGATTTGTCTTTTTTATTTCTTTTAATCACTCATTTTAGGAAACCATTATTTCCTTTGTCCAGATCATTGTGAGCACTTCCATGCTCCTCACTCCCCTGGTAAATGTTAAATGACTTGCAGCGCAAAATTGATTTCTCATACAGACAGTGCATTCTCTATAAGCTCCAAGGATGCCATCCTCCTGAATGTCATCACTCTTCAATCTGCCCCAGCACTCTTGGAAAGTCTCTCCTCCTGGACTTATTTCCCTGTAATGACATCTACTCAATAAATTGCCTGTGCTGATGTTTTGCTCCATACATCCGTGACCTTATGGAGTAGTGTTCATTGTGGAAATAAAGCACAAAGGGAGACACACTGAGGCCCTATTTGTGAAAGCTTATATGTGTTGTCAAAGGCATTTTTCCCTTAAGATCATACTTGGCAAGTCCTGCAGATGATGTAATGCTGCTTTTGTGAATCACGGCCCAGAGTGTGTTGAACACAAATGGGGGTTCACATTTTTCAAAGCTCCGATTTGACTCTCTTGGAAACTATGCCTGCAGTGTAATTTGAAGTCAAAGAACATTGTTGTTGTCAAAATAGGGCCTCAGACAAGATTTGAAACTGGGTGACCCAAAGCTGTGACTCCATATTACACATGATCTTTTCTCACTTGCCCTCTGTCGCTCTCCTCCAGGCTCCGTCTCGTCCCCGGGGTGGCGCAGAGGTTCTGTGACTCCCCGGGTCACCACCATCCCATGCCCTGGCTGCCAGCATGACATCGACCTCGGTGAGCGCGGCATCAGCATGCTGTTCCGCAACTTCACCCTGGAGAGCATTGTGGAGCGCTACCGCCAGGCTGCTCGCGCTGCCATTGCCATCATGTGTAACATCTGTAAGCCTCCGCAGCAGCAGGAGGCTACAAAGAGCTGCATGGACTGCAAGGCTAGCTACTGTAACGAGTGCTTCAAGTAGCACCACCCCTGGGGCACACCCAAAGCTCAGCACGAGTATGTTGGTCCCACCACGAACTTTAGGCCCAAGGCAAGTACTGTCACCGCCTTCTCAAAGCTTTATCCTTGTCTGTTGTATGTATCTGTTATTTCCTAAAGACTCAAACAAGAGTTTCTCTCAGTTGGACTATGAATATCTCTCAGGAGATAAGTTGTCACATGACCCAAAATATGTATAGATCAGTCTTTGCTCAGTCTTAAAATGGTTAGACAATGTTTAGGAAGAAATTAGCTGAAAGTCTTGTTTTCCTGATCATTAATTGCCGGTCAGGAATGTCTCTCATTTGTGGTATTTGGCCCTCTGGTAAATCAACTTAAAGCCCCCCTCCCAACTCAGATGTGTTTTTCTTCTGTTCATGTGTTGTGTTCAGAGGTGTTTTCACATTCCTCTATTGAAGGGGACGATGTCTGTGCACTTCCCCAAAATTTGAGATTCAGATGTACACCAGGCAAAGTAGATCAGATGCGTCACAAATACAAAAGCCAACTGGTGCATAATACAGAAAGTTCTCACAGACTGGGAAACAGACTTCAACAGGACACCGTCAAAAAAACCATGAAACCTTCAGCACAGAGCAAACTTTTCAGTTTACAGAACAAAAGTTAGCATTAGCATAGTGAACATTTTGACAGCAAACATGGTAGAGTGTGCAAGTTGTGGATGTTAACCGGACCTTGGGGTTTCCTTCTGCTATCTACCAAACACCCAGTTAGCCTACAAGCTAACAAGCTTACAAACAGCATAAAAAAAATAAAAGATGCTAACTATACTGAGCATTCTGATATGCTGCTAGTCATCGGATTTGTGCACAACAGATTCCTCATCTGAGTCTGGGTCTGACTGGGACTCAAACGTGTGGCTGAATCTCTTTATGTCTCTGATGCTAACACTAGCCATCTTGATGTGCACTGCTTTTTCACTGCTCAACTTAGTGCGAGCAGCTCTGGAGATAGCAAAAAGCAAAAGTGAAACTTACTGCCAGCAAATTTCTCAATGAGAAAGAACAGAGCTGCTTGAAGCTCCCTTTTTTAAACTATCATGTGTTAAACAAACATAATTTTAAACAAAAAAAAAAATAGTATTAGCACAATTATTTTAACATACTTTAAATGTTTCTGGAGAGGAACTTAAATATCTTAAATAATCCAATAGAAATAATGACACAAATGAGGAGTTTGATTCATTATGTGTCCCACATTTCTCTACATCTTCACCTGTGATGGCTGAATGGATTAGAAAACTGGCTTTGTCAGTGTATTGCATTATTCTGTTTGTCTCTTAGTTGATCAAACGGCTACATGCAGTCTCTGATAAATTGAGGATGAGGATCTGGGCAGAAAAAAAAACTGCTGATTTAAATCTATTTTAAGACACTTCAGGAAATGGCTCACAGAGAGCTGTATAGATGCTTTTTAAGTTAAGGTCATCTTCCTGTTTCACTTCAGCTATCTTTTTTATCACTGTAGAATTAAAATAGAGTCTAAGTGCTTTGTCTGTGGATTTTTAACTCATTGTTGTTCTGTTTAATATCTCAGGTGCTCATGTGTCCAGAGCACGAAATGGAGAAGGTGAACATGTACTGTGAGGTCTGCAAACGACCCGTGTGTCACCTCTGCAAGCTGGGAGGATCCCACGCCAACCACAAAGTCACCTCCATGAGCAGTGCCTACAAGATCCTTAAGGTACTGTGTTCAGACACTTAAACACTTTGGGAAAAGAGAGGTTGACTACTTGTGGGTGTGCGAAGGTCAACTGAATACATTGAAATTGCGTTTGAAATGTGCAAGTGTAACACAAAACAGTCTAATGATGACAAAGAAGAAACTGAGCTTGAACACAGTGCCAGAGTTCAAGGGTAGCTTGTGTATTTTTCAACCTTGACCCTATTTTCCCATGTTTTTGTGTCTCACTGACTAAGGGGAGCAACAGTCTTTGAAAATGATCCAATATGAGCTAGAGGGCTGCAGCCGAAAGCGGCAAAACAGGCTGTAACCACTTTGGGCACATGTGCACTATGTCCACTAGAACTGCTTGTTTTTGCTATTGACAGGCTCAGATTGTTACTATAAGTAGCTGATAACTTTATGGAAAGGATCCCTACAGAGATAGACCTTTTTGTTAAAGTCTAAGATCCTTTTATGTTTAACCTGGGACAGCACTTAAACGGCTATTGCCAAACCCACCAGACTCCATCTCTAAATAAACAGAACGAAACACTTCATTCAAAGTCGACAGAAACTAAATAAAACTCACAAAAGCCAGCTTGGATCGTCTGTCCACTGTTCCAACAATCACCAACTATATTTTGGTTGAGATAAACCCTTAATTCACCCAGTTAGACGGGAAAAAATGCCGCCTCTAAACATGCTAAAATGACTGTTTATTTAAACAGAGTCTGGTGGTTTAGGTGAGAGCAAATTCAGGGCTGTTTCTGGTTTAAATAGAAATTATCTTCCTCTTTAACAAAAAGGTCTGTCTCTGTAGAAATCCTTTCCATAATGTCAGACAATCTGAGCCTGTCAGTGGCATAAACAAGCACTTTAGTGGACGTACATTGAAGTTGCATATGCCCCACGTGGTTACATTACAGCCTGTTTGTGGCTACCAGTTGCGGCTCTCTTGCTCAATGCTGGACATATTTTAAAATTTGAGAGTCCCCATTTGTCACTAAGACACAAAAACATGGGGAAATTGGACCTAGGTTGAAAAGTACCAAAGTAACCCTTTAACAAAGGCTTGAAATGGAGTCACAGCCAAGCAAAGTGGCAAAGTGGAACTTGTAAGTATTGATGTTTGTGCAATGAAGTTGCCAGTAACCACCATTCTGTGATGATATTCGGTATGTTTTTACATGGTTCTGTAGATGGATTGATTCTCAGAAGTTAAGCCTAGATTTACCAAACTCAATATAATAACAGGGAATGGTTAAAAAGCCTTTTGATGAGTAATATTTTCCATTCAGTGGGACCAGTGTTGGGTCATACCAGAAGTATTTACCAAAAAAACCTCAAGAGCAGGTTTTTGTTGTGCTGCACCACCCTCTGACTGGTCCCTGCCTCTCTCATCTCCTGCTGTAATATTAATGTCTGACCTGAACCTGTGCTGGCACGCACCGGACCTTAGATATCAATCCCTCTTCTTTTTGGAAACTGAACCCCAGGTTGACCAACCAGGTTAAAACTAATTGGTCTCGTGTGTGGTCGCCAGATTTTTGCCACTCAGCAGAATTAATTTCAATCAGTCTGAGTGTGTGGTTTAGCTTATGTGGAGACAAAACTGTCAGGAGAGTGTGTTTTTAATGACTGTCTGTTTGCTATGACAGCACCAGGCAACACATTCAAACCGTTAACAGAAAGTGAAACATATCACACAGCAATTTAATCTAGTTGGCATGAGCACACAGCTCTGTGGATTTGATGCAAGGTGGTTCAGCAAGTCGAGGCAGAATCTGTGTGAAACTGAATCTGCTTGTCTGTGTTGACACAAACACCATGGTGCTTAATATTTAATGGGACCATTTGTTCCCCATCATTTTGTGTGCATTGTATCTACAAAATGTTGGAAGATGGATCCAATGTCCTGCAATCCTTCGTCAGCCAGGAAATAGTTTGGGTTTCATTTGCTTTGAACAATAATGCACTGTCATATCATTGTGATACTAGTGAATGCTGTTTGACGCTGACTGCACCCACTGACGCAGGCTCTCACATACAGGGTCACACAGGACACTCTGCACATGTCCCGAACAGCTGCAGCTGCTGTTGTGGATATGATATAAGATGAGAGAAAAATGTTGTGACCCATGTCAGAGCACGGGAATGTGAGCACAAAGTCCCCAAATCCCACTGTATTCCTGAAAAAGCACTTATTTTAATTAACTTTTTGTGTATGCAGCGCAGATAGCCCCTCAGCTGTGCATGTTATATCTTATTTGTCGGCTTAGTGCTGCGTCAGTGCTTCAGTTTATGAGACTCACTGTATGTGCTGCTGTTTTTCTGTCTCCTCAGGAGAAGCTGGCCAAGAGTATCCATTACCTCATCAGCAAAGAGGACCAGGTCAGGGCTCAGATTACTGATCTTGAGCAGCTCATCAATCAGACAGAGGTGAGAGAGCTGAGTCATGCTGCAGAAGGTCTTTTTTTCACTCCACTTCCCAAATCACATCTCTTATATGCCCCCTTCAAATCTTATTAGTTTGATAGCTCTGGAAAGCAGAGTTAAACTGTGTTGTCTTTTGTTACACAGTACAAATATTTATATAGCTTTCACAAAACCAGTCAGTTAAGGTGAGGAACAATTCCACATTATCTGTGTACGTATAAGGAAGGTCACTAAACAAACAGTATGCAAACCACACAAACAAGGAAACTGAATTTGCCTACTAGTTTCCCTCCTGAGTGTCTGAGTTTCAGCCTCAGAGCTTGTTCCTGTTTTACTTTGAAGCTGGTCCTGAATGGTTAGTGTTCAAACACACCCACGCTTTGGTGTTTTGTGAGAGGAGTGTGTGACTGATGTGTTTGAGCTGCTCTGTTTTATTAAACAGTTTTGGGTTCAATAACCCTTCTCTATGTACTTAAATTGTGTAATGTGAACTTTTAAGTTTCTACTTACTTTAATACTTAATATCCTTAAACCTTCATCTGTATTTATAAATCATCTGTCAAAACAAAGTTTTAATACAACAACTAGGGCTTGAATTTTTTTTTTTTTTAAAGAATTTTCCTAGTCAACCAATAGTCGTCATTTAGGGCCATTAGTTGACGAGTCGCCCACATGTTTACCATATTAACTTAATTATTAAATGATATATTTTGGGCGGGGCAACACAATGGTTTAAGTTGAAGGTTTGAGAAAGAACAGTATCAGTAACATTGTTAACACTGTGCTACATTACAGAGAAATACAAAACCGTACTAATGAACCTTCATTAATATAGGCCTATATTTTATCTACAAATGCACGTCACACACTGAGCGAGCCGCCTGTTAATGACGCTGTTGGCAAAGCAGTAATTATTGTGCTAAGTGGCTAATGGGCATGTAGCTACCGACATGTTTCAGATGATACATCATGTTTGTAGTCAACCAATGAAGATGAGTTCAACACTACAAAAATAACCCATCTACAGAGATGCTTGCATTTGGGGACAGATATGAGGAGAACGTTTTATTTGCTTTGTACAAATTTAATAACAAATTTGTTTTTCTTAAAGGAAAATGGCCAGCTAGCAGAGCGCCAAGCCAATGAGCACTTCGAGCGTCTGTTTGAGACGCTGCAGGAGAGGAAGTCGGAGATGCTGAGGTCCATCGAACAGTCCCGAAACCGACGCCTGGACCAACTCAGGGCTCAGGTATGAAATACCAGGACTGAGTTTCACCCCTATTGAGTGTCCTCTACACACATGCTTTTTTACTCCTCATATTTTTGCATGGTAGAAAAATAACTCATGCATTACACACATGAAGAGTACATCTTTAATTGTTTCACTGAATGTCTAATCAGGGGATTTTATGGGATTTTCTTTTTTTGAGGATTCTTTTTAATACAAAGCCACCTGTTTTAACGATTTGTAAATACAAAATGTTTTAATGCCCTTACTTTTTACAAATAATTCCCAGGTGGAGGAGTACCAGGGCATGCTGGAGAACAGTGGTCTTGTGGGCTACGCTCAGGAGGTGCTGAAAGAGACGGATCAGTCCTGCTTTGTACAGACTGCAAAGCAGCTACACACTAGGTAGAGCTGGGTGATAGTGACATTTAACTTGAATGAATGATGAAGAATGAAATGGCACTTGCTGATGTTTACATCAAAGAAAATATTGAAAACCATGTTTAGTAATTCTGGTACAAGACCAAGCAGTTAAGGTATCTACTGTTCATTTCACTTAGCTGAAAGAGTCAGAAGTTAAAGGAATACCTCATCCTCTATCATTTCTATATCAGCTACTCACCCTGTGTTATTGTGATTTTTTTTTTTTGAAGAAAACTACTTTGTTTGCTTAAATGATTCAGTGAACAAGGAATTCAAAACAAGAGAAAAATCTTGATGAATTTGAGTCATAGGGGTCCAGGTTCAACAACAGCAAAACTATCAGTTTCCAAACTCTCACACAACTTGTGCAGAAGAATCCAAGTCTCATTTTATCCAGTTGTATGCTGATTTCTGACATTTCTGACAGAACTGCCCTAAAAGGTAAACTTATTGATGCTCTCTTTAAAGCCAGACTCCATTGACAAATACAGTAATTTTACCTCGCTGAACACAGGAGCCGCAGGGCTACCACTGCCTTGATCAGTTAGTTAGTTTAGTGTTTAGTGGGTTAGTTGGGCTACACTGAAGTCACATAATGACAAAGTCATACAAAAACATAAACAAACTACCAATCGAGGCAGTGCTAGACCAGCAGCTGCTGTGTTCAGTGAGGTGAAAAGGACTGTTTTTGTCAGTGGAGTCTGGCTTTGAGGAGACCATATTTAAGTTTCACTTTCTGTTAAGTGTCCCTTTGAGAACTTGTATCATGTTAACTGTAATACTGTGGTTTTGAATTTCAAAAAGTCATAAATTTTGATTACTGCTTATCCAGTCATGAATAGTTAATGGTATGAATGGTATTTAAGATTTGAAACAGTATTTTCAGAGGCCTTATTCAATCACGATATCAGAGTGACCAAAATCCCCCAAATCCCAACAGATGGCTAGTCTTAACATTGATCAAACAACAAAGCCTACAATATGTGGGTATCTCTGGCACTACATTAATGATGTGTGTAAATCCACCTGCTTAAGCTCATGTGATTGAGGTTACAGATTTTTCTGACGAAGCAAAAAGGCTAATGCAATGGATGTCATGGAGTCTTACCTCTCTTGACTATCTATACACATTTATAATGCCCCCCTTAAATCTCTTTTATACTGCTGACAGTGGTGACAGCCAATAGTCTCTGCATTGTGTTTTGATGATGATGGTGGATTCACTGCTGGCAGTTAGACCCTAACATAAAACACAGACAGTGCTGGTGTCAATGCAGTGATGATCTGTTTATTGCTTATAAGCACTGGGATCTGGGAGATACAAGCCTGGTCTCAATAAAACTATTCAGCATAAAATCAAATCATAATCAACAGATATATTGCTGTAGCCAAGCTGATAACCACTAACTGATAGATTATAGGACCAACGATCTAACCTTGACCAGGATCAAAGGTTTCTAGTGTTATTACAAATTAGATGCTACTGATACTAATGGATCAGTACACTTAGATAGTCAGTCTGGATGCCAATATAGTTACTGGCTCTCTCAGACAGGCTTAGCTCGGTCAAACCTGTTCCCCCAGTGATAGGCTCGTAATGTTGCCTCTGACATTGTGTAGCGAAGTACTAAATATAATATATAAATTAATATGGTAGCATGGTGCAGTGGTTAGCATTGTCACCTCACAGCAAGAGAGTTCCTGGTTCCCACACCCAGGGTGGGAGGTTCGAACCCCAAGGTGGGGGAACTCTTTTGTGTGGAGTTTGCATGTTTTCCCTGTATCAGTGTGGGTTTTCTCAGGGTACTCCAGCTTCCTCCCACAGTCCAAAGACACGCAGGTTAATTGGTGACTCTGATTTGTCTGTAGGGTGAACGTAAGCGTGAATGGTTGTCTGTCTCTATGTGTCAGCCTTGTGATAATGTTGCAGCCTATCCAGGGTGTACCCCGCCTATTTCGAAATGTCAGCTGGGATAGGCTCCAGCCCCCCCACAACCCTGAACAGGATAAGCAGTTATGGAAAATGAAATAATATAATAGATAACAGCATAGTAATATGAGAATAACACAAATATGTACACCTTACAATTATCAAATAAAGGTAAAATTACTGACGAAATTAAATTCTATATCACAAGATTTTGCTAAAAGACATAGTAACTATTTAAAGCTCAAATTAGGTATTTAATGTAACATGCAAGAGGCTTGTGTTACATTGGCATCAGAACTGTAACTTACTTTTCTAGATGTAATTGAAACATACCAGGACACATGTTATTAATTGTACCACTTCTCTAAAATGACAATTAAAATCTTAAAGTACTTGACATTTGCGATGGGAATATATGAATTAGAAAGGAGTCGACAATTAACATGACCTATTTTTATACCTAAAACAAACACCACGCTCAAGCATCTCTGGTGTCCTTAAGTTATCCTCCTTCAATTTGCTAAGAGGAAGCTGAGCCAGGCCTGACGGAAATTGTTATTGACAGCTTTCACGACTAAAATCCTGACTGTAAACTGTTAAATTAATAATTAGGGAACTTAGTAATAATTACCGGATACATTCGCTACAAATAACAGAAGCCAAACATGATTATTTAATAGGCTGTACAGTCAGACTGAAGTCTGCTCTGACTCATTTGTGTTGCACACATAGAGTTTATAATTAGCCATGCCTCCCAGTTTGCCAGTGGATTTCACCAGTGGGATTTGGTCTGTTTATTTTAGTGTCGAGAGCATCAATCTGATTATGTGTTTGGGTGACGGGAGTGTGTCAGGAACACACGGGGCCACGTGCACATAGGTTACAAACTGAAGGGCAGTTAAGGAGAGACTTATGCAGCAATGTCCAGTCCGTGCTGTGTCTTCTGCTCTAAGCTGAATAATTGATCTCCATTAGCAGCTTTGGATAATCACAAAACCTTTTCACTCTTGAGAGCATGATACTGTAGCCTGCACACTTTTCTCCTGTTGACGACAACTTTTAATCCTCTTTTTCACTTATGAGAGTCAATATAAATATAGATGGAACGAAAGATGCCAAAGTTTAAGATGATTGTAACATGGTAGAAGACACCTGATTTAATTAAGAGGAAGAGACTGTAAATGAACAGGGGTCGTATTTTGTGTCTTTGTTATTGTATTTGATGAACTAACAAAAGTAATGTAATTGAGGTGAGACTCGCTGATATGAGTTTTTTTTTTTTTTTATCATGTTATGTCTGCCTTGCATGTTTCCAGGATCCAGAGGGCCACAGAGTCTCTGAGGACCTTCCACCCTGCGTCTGACCCCTGCTTTGACGAGTTTGTGCTGGACACATCCAGAGAAGAAACTCTGCTCAAAGAGATGTGCTTTGGTGGAGGTACAACCAGTTTATTGAAATTAAATGGAGGTCTCATGGTTTCCCCAGATAGAGTATTTATTACAGCTGTACTGTGTTTATTTTTTTAAATTCAAAGTTTGATTGAAGTTTTGGAATGACGCATTGAATGTCCCCCCACCCCCTGCATCACACCTTTAAAATTTAACAGCATTGAGCAAACGATGTAGGTTTTTAGCCACCCTTTTTAAGTGACTAAAATGCACTTTGCTGCAACACCTATCCACCGTAGCACATTGCAGCTTCCGTGCTGGTAGATCTGGTTTATCAAAGACGTTAGCAAAGCAGCACACTACATAAAATAAGCACAGCAGAAACATCAGGTCAGACCACCATGTTTAACTATGTCATCTATAAAAGTTACGGTTATGGCTGAAAATGACAACAGAAATAAACAGTCTTGCTGATTTCATATATCTCCGCAATTTAAAACAACTGACCTTTTGTGGTCAAGTGATCGTTGTTGTTAGTGCATCATCATGGTGGTTTGAAGCGGAGTATTTCGCTTGTTAAAAAGTGATTACATCAGTCTTTTCTCAACAAATTTTAACTTTTGGACTTAACAATGCTCCGGCACTATTGGAAATTTTTGGCTCACACAAGTCAGAAACAATCAGCACCCACTGGAATCCAATGCTTCGAATAGTATAATATTAAGAATATTAGAAGAGCCTAATCTTCATCTGCAACTGTGCAGAAATACCCGGGGTGAATCATGAATTGTTTCCATGTCTTCAGGCTGTTTTCTGGCCCCTGTTTTAAGGGGTTCTCTGTTCTAATGTGGTTCCACTGTAGCGTTTCCACACATCATGTCTCACAGATTCACTGTCAAAGGACAAGCTGCAATAGTTTGACCACATACAGCTGGAAAAACTGACCATCAGTTCATGTCAGGGAAATATGGTGACATTTTCTGTTTCTGTGCCTCTCTGAAGATGAAACTGGTCTTTGTTCATGTGTCCTCCAGACCATGACATAACTTGCTCTACAACGCAGAGCTCTGCCACTTTAAAAAGTTTTAACAACATAAGCTTTTGAAAAAAAGACACATGGTCAGAATAAGCTGTTTGTCGTCACCTGTCCATCACATGCACGGCCCTGTGAACTCTGCTGTGCTAAGAGGTCAGAGGTCATCTGCGGGATAAACAGTTACTATCCCGGATACACTCACAGTGGGTTTTACTGCTCTGTGAAGCTTTTTTTCTGGTCTGCTGATTTACAAAAGGCTTGTTCTGTAAATGGCTGCTTAGGTAGAAGTTTCCCAGGGAAGAAAGGAGACATACTTCTCTGGCATATTTCATTTTTCTTAATAAAGAAAATGAATTAGAAGAATTATTCCACACAATTATTCCATGAGACGGAAGGAAATGTTATAGAAGACTTGGCCAACAAGAGATGCGCATATGTCTGGTTATATTGTGTCGTAGCACTTTGAAAAGGCTCTTCAAAGACTACTCAGTAAACTCTGGTTGGACAATGACATCACATCTCTGGCCAAAAATGGTCCCTGCTGATGGCCAAAAACTGTCATGCGGTGGTGAGGCAGATGGTCAGATTGCGGCGTTGTTTCCACGTCCATTCAGACCCTCTCTTACAAACCAGGAAATATTCATCATGTTATTGCTATGAAAAAAACAAATCCATGTACCATTGTTTATTAATAAGACATTTTACAGACAGTTTATTTGTTTGGTCTTGAAATGGTTGTGATCAGACATCCACACCAAGGTCCACTGCCCATTTTTCAGTTTGAAAAAGATTTTTATGCCATTTATGTATATCTACATGTGAATTATATTCTTGTCTCATCGTTTTGAGCCTGAGGTGTTTGTAAGAGACAAAAATCTTTATCTAAGCTGTCTTCAATCAGACATTGGAAAAGTTACCCTCAAGGCTTTTTGCCAAAAAGTCAGGTGACGTAGTGTCAAGAGGGACAAAGTGCTCGTAAACATAAAGTCAAGATCAATAAATAGATAAAGCACAGGACTTTCACCCACAAGATTGGGGTTGGAGTGCTGCATGGGTTATTATTAGTTTATTATTATGTCATATTAAGGTTGAATTTTGTCATTGCTGGGACACCTTGCCTAAATTTTAATTTTGGGACTATTTTGGAACACTATGGGACATCTTGATTGGATGTTCAAAGAAGTGTCATTCAATGTCTGTGTTTGCAATGACTGGGGATCTTGCAGGGTCACTATTTGCAAAACTAGGCTGGTATTAGGAGCTTAACCTTCCAGAGAGTTTCTGTAAACAAGCTTGTGAGAGTACGGATAGATATTAGTGCTGAATTTAAAACCTCACAGGGCAATGAAGGACTGAACAACTTGATAGGTTATCAGACATAACAACAAATAATCAATAAAAGTTCCCAGAGCAAAGATCAAAGGTCTGAAACCTGAGCAGGTTGCAGAAATGTCTAAATAATCACAAGAGGGTCAGTCAGAGGCCACGTCAGTGCCTCACAAGATGAGACCCTTCGTATCAAAGCAGCTGGATTGCGGAATTTAATAAAGTTTTATAATCATTGTCAGATTAAAGGGGGCATATTATGCTCCCTTCCTCATTCATTTTTGTAGTTTTGGGTTTCTACTAGAACATGTTAACATGCTTTAATGGTCAGAAAACACTTAATTTACCTCATACTGTCTGTGCTGGAGCACCTGTACTCACCCGCTGTCTATAATGCTCTGTTTTAGCACCTGTCTCTTTAAGTCCCCTCCTGAAAAGCCCAGCCTTGGGTCTTCTGTATCTTGGTTTCTGTAACAGAATAGCAGCACTTTATAACATGAAAAATCACTAATAAAGCTACTTGGCGAAAATGCTCAGCAGGAATATGATCCAAAATCTGAGAGAAATTAACAACAGCAACCAAGATGATGTTTCCCTGTTGCTGGCATGTAGATACACATAGCAGTGTATGCAGTGTTAACACTTGCAGAAGCATGGCGCAGATGACCATATGAAGAAATCCGTCACGATCTGGTATCAGTTTGTCCCAAAAGTTGTGAAAACCATTAAAACAGAGTAGTCAGAGCGAACTCAAGCCTGAGGTGTTTGCTCACGGGGATTTCTTTACATACATTCACCTTAATATTTGAATCTTTTGTCACATGTAATAGGAACATTCAACATTGTAACATTATAGGTATGACAGACAATAAGGTAAGCATAACCCCTGTAAGCTATTAACATGGCTAAAATTCAGTTCATACAGTCAACTAAAGCTGGAGAATTATAGGTATTACACTGTCATTATCCGCACTTAACATAAGGGTTGAATGGTGTTTATATTGGATCCACCTTTGTCGCATTCCTGCCTTAATTGCATAATGATAGGATTGGAGATTGAGATGGACTCTTAACAACTGAGTAATGGTTTCTGACATCTGGCTGCGTCTGGCCGAGTCTTGTTTTACATGCCTTCCTTTCTAACCTGACAACATTATGCGTGTTACTGACTGCAGCTGAGAGCAGTATTGAATATCATTGTTGCAGTTAGTTTCGGTTAGTTGTGACAGTTCTTTCAGTCACAGTTAGCCAGAGACAATTGACTGGTGTTTGAGGTTTGGGGGGCATTGTGAAAGAAGAGCCTATAAGGTGGTCGATCTCAATACAAAGTAAATGGTTTAGATTTGATCAGCAGCTGTGCTTCCAGATGTTAGCATTCAAAAAATATTAGAATTATTGATGTATTAAACGTTGCTGACATTGTAGACAAAGCTGAGATCACTTTGGCATGGAGCCATTACCCCTCGAGTGGATGCAGCTAACTGACAGTTGTCTCAGTGACTGTTGGCTCTGGGCTTTTGTTGCTACACTGCAGCGCCACCCTGTTGATTTGTTTAAAATCAGTGATGTGAGATGTATCGCTGAGGCGACGGTTGGTTCTGTCGAGACTCGTGCACTAGAAATGGATCATTAAAAGAAGAAACAGTTGGATAATCATTAAACAAATGACGGTGCAGTTGATGGTTTTTAATCTTTTTAGATCAAATCCTTTGCCTTTTTTGGCAACTATTTAACAGTGTATGTCCAAACAAATACCAAAAAGCGTGTTTTCTTCCTGTAAATCAAAATATGACATGTGCTTATGCAGCTAACCAGTTTCAACCACTAATGTCATGACATACACACATCAATCAGTCTGCAATTTTTAACCACAAAGAGCTATTATTGAGATAGCTACCTAGCAACAGCATGCTACATTGGATTGTCTTTGTTTCCCCAAAATATCGTGGTTCGGGCCTGAAGGCTAGAATTTATTCACTGTGAGGAAAGTGGTATTTGTGACAGCTCCAGATAATGCACAAGGCATGTGACAGTGGACTGTCTCAGCAACTAATGTTATAGGAAGCATATGATTGGCTTTGTCTCTTCCTCCCTGATGGATATTACTGCCCCATCAACTTCACACCATCAGGGCCTCACTGTTATGACACACCCACATTTGTACAATCAAATCAAATTCCTCCCAACTCTTTATCACACCTGATTTCACTCTGAAATATGTCACAATACTGAAGCTAGATACTCTTGAAATGCAGTTTCACCTGGACTTTTAAGAACATTGGATGCTTACCAATGGATCAAGTGTCTTTTCTGGTGCAAGTCCACACTTGAAGTGAAAAGAAATGATGGGAAATGTCAGGATTTACAGAAGGAATTCTACATGTGCCAACATTTTCTTCAGTCTTTGAACATCCTTCTGGGCAAATGTAGTCATTAGAGAAGCAACTACTTATAAAAGACATGAAAAAAAAGAAAAATATAATAAGAAAGAGGTAGGGGTGAGGGGATTAGAGACATTACACAAAAGGCAGCAACCAGCTGCTTCATCAGAACACAGTACACTGTACACAGATGATTCAGATGATTGGACAACCAATTTCGAAGCTGTGGTAGAATGTTTAATTTCACCATCTGTGATGTTTATTTACAGTTTTTGTTATGTATGTTAATTTCATTTTCCTAATCTG